CAGAAGCAGACTGGATTTATCCTGAGGACCTGCCACTGTGGAAATACTTGTTATACCTGAGCTTATTTGCTGTTAACATCTTCAGAATTGCAGCCTGGTCATGGGTAAATGTTTTTTTAAGACTCACATGCCAACGAGGGGTTGTTTTCCCCTATCGTAAATCTTTGGCTGGGTTATTGTGTGCCTGGGATACCACGGCAAAAGAAACAGTGCTGCCTCTCCGAGTAAGAGGCAATTAAGATTCCTTTAAAGATTCCTTTAAAGTGACTTGAAGGGCTCTTAAAATAGGATAAATGTGGGTATCAGTTCACAGGCTGGGCTGGCTCCACACCCTCTGTGGCATTGTGCCCAATGTCCGGTGGAGTTGATTTTGGCAGTGTCGTGTCCTCACGACCCTCTTCATCCCCCCAGCCCACGGCACTGCAGCTCTGGCTCTTGCTCTGCTCTGCGGGTTTTGGCATCCCTGGTCCCCCCTTGGTATCCCTCTTTCCCTGCCAGCATCCCCATCCCATGCAACGTCTCTTGGAGGGGGCTCAGATCTGATCCCTGCTGCCTTTTGGGCTTGCAGTGCTAGTTGCTGTGATCCCACAAGGATTTTGTTCCCAGCTTGGAAAAAAAATTCCCCGAGCACCGGGAGCTCGCAGCAGTCGGGGTGAGGAAGGTTTGGGATGCCAGGCTGGGGATTTGGGTGTCTTTAATGCTCTGCCAAGCCCAGGCAGTGCCCTGCTGCAGTTGGCTGGATCCTTTCCCTGCAGGATGGCCCCCGGCTGCCTCCCACGTGGTGGAGGTGCCGGGGCAGGGCGTGGGGCGAGCCTGGCTCTGCCGGGCTCCTCCGGCCATCCCAGCCCTACCACACACGGAACACCCACGGGATTGGGGGCCTGGAAAATCCCGGGGCTGTAAACTGCTCCTGTGGGGGTCGATCCTGGGTGTTGTCCTCCAGGATGTGCCGTGCTGGTTCCAAAAGCTCCGTGCGCCTGGAAAGCTGGACTGGAGGGATCTGTGCTGTCCTGGCTGTCTGTCTGTCTGTCTCCCTTTGGCTCCCACTGCTGAGTGAATCCTTAGGGACTGCCAGTGCATCCCTTCCTCAGGTGCTATCTAGCTATCCTTCAGTTAAAAATAAAGGCATGTTTTTTTGGGATAAACTGTCAGAGATGATTATTTTTCAGTGAGCATCCTTCTTACCCAGGGAAGCTGGACCAGGCAGTGGGTGGCTCCATGTCCTATGGGCGTGTGGGATGGGATGGTGGGAGCACAGGAGAGATGTCCTTGCCTCGTGTCATCCTTTTCTCAATCCGTAGGTTACCATGGAAACATAAAAGTACCAAGTCTGCCAGTCCATGATGCTTTGCCAGGATGGCCTGGGATCACCAGACATCCATGCTGGGATGGTGTGGGGGAAGTTGTAATCACTCTCCACTTTTGTGCTTGTTCCATGCCTTTAAATTCCTTTTTTCCCTGATTTTTTGGCTGGGAGCAGCTTGGCAGGTGCTTGCTGCCACTTTGTGGACTGACATGACTTAAATCTGGAAATGCTGGAGCCATTGAGGCCAGGGGAGAAGATAGGAATGAGTGGATGGAGACACAAGGATGAACTTCTCTGAGTTTCCCCCTGGCAGGAGGGTCCATGTGGATGCTGATGGCATCTCCCAGGGGACATGGTGAAACTGGGAGGCAAAACCCTGCTCCAGGTTGGAGGCAAACAGGGAAACTCCATAAGGCTTGGACATGAGCTGTCTCTGCAGCATCCTGGGATGGGGCTTTCCCAGAACATGGGGTGGGGAAGGGAGTGGGAGAGGGGGAGTGGGCCATGGGGCTTTTGGATCCTTTGTGCAGTGATAATTGCAGCCTGCGGTGCTGTGGGGGTGCCTCCTCCAACATCAAAGAAGGGCTTTTCCAGGCACTTCTGCCAGGTGTGGGGAGCTGCATCCAGCTGGGACTTTTCCCTGCCGGTTTCAGGGTTTGGTGGGGCAGGCGATGCCCTGGACCAACCCTGAGGGAGCAAGGACGGATCTCAGTGAGTGCTGAGTCTCTCCCTGCCGGACAGGAATGCTCCAGGATCCAGGGAGGAAAAAAGGAATTTAAAGTGTGGGATCCAGGGAGGATGTTGTGGTGAGGGGTTTGTATTGGGGATCTGAGGGATGCTGCACGGGCTCTGAGGATGCTGTGATGGGACAGGGATGCTGTGGGAGCACTGAGGATGCTGTGATGGGATAGGAATGTTGTGGAGGCACTGAGGATGCTGTGGTGGCTTTGAGGATGCTGCGGGAGCTCTGAGGGTGCTATGATGGGACAGAGATACTCAGGAAGACTTCAAGGATGCTGTGGGGGCTCGGAGTGATGTGATGGGGATGCCAGTGGGAGGGGACTCTGAGGAAGTTGTGGGAGACCAGGGATGCTGCAGGAACAGGGATATTGCAGGACTGGGGGTACTGTGGCAGGGGTCTGAGGATGCTGTGAGACCAAGTTGCCATGGGGTGCTCTGGGAATGCTGTGGTGGGACAGGGATACTCGGGGGTGCTCTGAGGATGCTGTGATGGGACAGGGATGCTGCAGGCTCTGAGGATGCTGTGATGGGACAGGGATGCTGCAGGACTGGGGATGCTCTGGGGACCAGCAGGACTCTACAGCATCTCTCCCTCCAGCAGCCCTATGAGGAGGACACAGGACCTGGCTCGGGGTATTCAGACCTTCCTGCTTTCAGCAGCTGCTCTGCTTTGGGCTGTGGATCTGGGAGGGCTGTAGGGAGCTTGAATTCATTCCAGAGGCACCGTGGGTGCGGGGGCAGCAGGGTGTGCTCTGTTTTGCTCTGCATTCCCTGAAGGCTTCACTAAGCAATGTTCTTTCTCCTTGGGGATTATTAGCTGTGTTTGACTTAGATAAGTTTTGTATCAGGCTCAACTTGTGCATACAAACCCTGGGAAAAGATCATAAAGCTGTCAAAAAATATTGCTTTAAAAAAAGCTGGTATGTAAAGGCAAACATTGCGGGCAGAGAGGATTTTCGAAGTGTTTTCATTGGTGGAAGGGGTGGAATATGCTTGCTTGGGTGTTTTGGCACCCAATGATGAAGCTGGGGGGTGAATTTGGTGCTAAAATCAGGTCCTGATGCCCAGCAGTTTCCCAGCCCTGGGCAAATAGGGGTACTCAGGCCCCCCAGGAGCATCCCCAGCCTCCATCTGAGTCAGCTTGGGATTTTTGTGGCCATTTTTGCTATCATCTAAATCCCCCAGGAAGCACAAGCTGCTTTTTATCTTCCTTTAATTTTACTTTTTCCAAGCAATTGTAATATGTAAAGGAGTGAGATCCCCCTGTGCCTTCTCACTGTATTGCTCCCACCCTTGAAGATCCAGCCATGGGTTTCATCTTCCTAAGCAGGAGAGCCTTGTTGAGGTGGGAATACGGATGCAGGATGAGGGCCAGGGTGTAAGCTGGGATGGGGAGTTGCTTCCCCTTTCTGGAGCTCCCAGGTAATGCTGGGGCGCAATAATCCATGTTTTATGATGGAGAAGTGGTTCAGAGGAAGAGAAGTGCTTTCCTAGGGGACCACCTCACCTGTCCCCATCCCTCTGCTGTTAAATGGACACAATTTTCCTTTTCTACTGTCCTGTCCCGTTGCTTAGTGTGGTTTAATCGTCCTTAATTGCCCTTCTTGTCCTTTTAAATTAATTCCTCTCCTATCCTTTTAACTTCAGAAGCCTCTGACGGGGAAGGGAAGAGCCTGGCTCTTGTGGGACCATTTTTGGTCCCATTTTTCCTCATTCTTGATCCAATTTTATGCCCTTCTTGGCCGGCTGAGCCGTGGTGCTGCCGGGGGTTTGGCAGGTGTCAGGTTGGTTAGCGGCACTTCCTTGGGCAGGGAGGGATGAGGTTGATGCCCTCCCTCGGGTGACTAATGATGGGCAGGCTCTGACTGAGAGATTCTTTGGATCACCCAGCTCGGGTGTGCACCTTTTCCTGTGGCTGACATTTAACACACTGAGACGTGGCTGCTTGCATCCGGGAGGAGCTCACTTAACCAGGTGGCAAAGCCAAGCGCGGCTCTGAGCCTGGCAGGATTCACCCTGGCAGCAAAGCCTCCCCTGTACCCCAAAGCCTCTCCCACCTGGTAAGTTCATTTGCCACGTCCTGGCGGGATGGGATGAGCTGATCCCAGGACGGCTCCGACCACGGCTCTTGGCTCCTTGTTCCAGGAGCGAGAGGTTTTGGAGGAGGACAGAAGTGGCCCCACATCCCTGGGCAGTGTTTGTGTGGGCACTGAGCTCGTGGCACCTCCTTTCTCCAGGCCAGGATGAGTGACTCCAGGGCTTTGGAGGTTCCCCAAGTACGTGATGCTCTTTGGTTTGATCCTGCTTGGCTGCTCCCTTCTGACTGGGTTTGTGGTGACAAGTTAGGCTTCGTACCTGCTGGTGCCAGGTGAATGCTTAAGCTGGGCTTAGTCTCCCCCCATGGGATTTTGTGGTTGAAACCCCACTGGGGGCTTGTTTTTCCTTTCTAATTATTTTTTTTTGTTTTCCTTTGGCCTTTAATCTGTAGGGCTGAAGCTCCTTGGGAAGTGCGGCTGCTTGCCTGGCTTTGATAAGCTCTCTAAACCAACCCTTTGGCAGCAAAGAAATGTGAATTTAAATAAATAAATGCTTTGGGGAGCCCTTGTACCTGCTTGTCTGCAGATACAGATGGGCAATCAGGGGGTGATGCCCCTTGGATGGGGTTTTAGGGTCAGCTCTGATGGGTTTTCCTGTTTTCCTGCTGCAGGTAACCAGCCGCAATGAGAGCTCTGGCCCCTGCCTGATCGCTTTCCTGCTGATAAAAATGATCAACAAGTCTCGTGAGTGCCACAGGAGATCCCATCTGCCTCTGTCCAAGCAGGGATGGGAATTGCATTTGGAAGTCTGGGGGTTGGATGCTGCTGTGGTTCCAGTTGAGCAATGGAGTATTTGGGGTACACAGGAGAAGGTCACAGCAGGGAGGGTGGTTTTGGGTGGGGATCTTGATCACTGGGCTGGGCACCTGGAACTCTTTGGACTTAGTTACACAGAAATGGGGCAGAGGCACACGGAAAAAGAGATACATGCCAAGGCTTTGATGTGAAGCAGGCAGGAGGAAACAGGCACATTACAGTGACTTCTAAACCTGTGCCAGTGACACATTTCAGAGCTGTTCCTATGGGGTCATGGTGACAGCCAACCCCAGCTGCTCCCCGAGGAGAAGGCTCTGACATCCTGGTCTGGCTAGGGATGCTGTGGGACCCCACAAGCAATCATCTAAACCCCATGGCTGATGTTGGTTTTTCTCTCCCCCTCCTCTCTGAGCATGCAGGAGGGAAGATACTCGGGGTGCTGGCTCTGTTTCTGGTGATGGTTTGGTACTCGATCTACCGGGAAGACAGGTACACACAGCTGTGAGTGCTTCTTACTGAAGTTTAAAGGTCCTCCTGCCCTTTCTTTCACTCCTGGGAGGTGGCTTCTTCCTGCCCATCCAGCACAGGGATGCCAGAGCATGGCAGATTCCCTGGATCCAAGGGGACTGGGGAGGTGGCAGCACCCTAGGCTACTGCTGGAGAATGGGAGACACAAACCAGACTCTCCCTCGGGGTATGGTGGTGGTTGGGCTCTGCGGGATTTTTTTGCAAATGCTGCTGCTTTTCTGAGCCTGGGAGGATGGGAAAGCCCTGCTCTCTTCCCAGTGCCAGCGATTCTGATGGAGATGGGGAAAGTGGAGTGTGAGGTTTATGAGCAGAGCAAGAGAGACCTCTTCTGATGCAAGGCTGCAAGCCTAGCACATAAATACCCAGGCACTGCCAGCCTTAAATCTGGCTGGAAATCTCTCTCTCACAGTTTGAATCCCACACTGGGGATGCCTGGGGGTGCCGGAGCCCCTTTTGCCAGGAGGGGGCTGCAGAGGAACAGGCATCATTTGATTTAATCAACCTCTTCCTTTACAGCTTTTATTTCCCTGTGCAAGAAAACAACAAGACAACGTGTCCCCTTGGGGAGGTGGAAAAGAAAGCGGCGCAGCTCATCGGGAAGTGAGTTTTGGGGCTGGGAGTGAGGAGTGGGGGGGATGCAGAGCCAGGACCCCCCTCCCTGTGCCATCCCTGATCCCAGCCTCACTGACCCTTTGCTCCTTGGCAGCTACACGAGAGACCACCCACTGTTCTTGCAGCTGAAGGATTATTTTTGGGTGAAGACGCCGTCGCTCTACGAGCTGCCCTACGGCACCAAGGGAAGTGGTAAGCCTGGCAGTGCTCACTGGGGTCTGTCTGTCCGTCCTGCTGCTGCCCCTGGGGTTTAACTTCCCTTTTCCTAAAGACACCTGCAGATTGATTTTGCTGGGGACTATTTCCAAGCTATTTTCTCGGTTTTTAGAATCTGCAGTGGGTACCTCCTCATCCTGGGTGCACATGGTGCCTCTGAAAGAGTTTAGGGTGGGCCAGGTTTTACTAAGCCCCAGAGACAGATTATCTGCCTTAAACCAAGATTAACAGCAGAAGCAAATTCAGCAGGGATGGGGCAGCACCCAGGATGTTGTGCCAGGCAGGAGCTGCCTTCTTCACCTTCCTCACCCTGTCCTTGCCCTTGCTTTGCAGAAGACGTCCTCCTGCACCTGCTGTCCATCACCCATCACTCCCTGCCCGAGAGCATCCAGAGGTAACAGTGGGGTGGGTTTAGGGGCTTCTCTTTATTCATCATTGCTTTCTTGGGGGGTGGTTGGAATTTGTCTGTTGTGGGCCCAGGATTTGGCAAAATGAACCTCTGCAACCCAGGGGTGGTGGATAGAGCATAGGAACATTTGGAGACTGGACAACACTGGGTTTAACCCCCCTGGGTGTGGAGACTTGGAAAGGCATTCCTAGTTAGGAAGACACAAGAGGCGTCTCTCAGCTGTTCTCTCTGATAGCAAACCCTGTTCTATCAGGCCAGAGCAACCCCTGTTCTGTTCCGAGTCAGCCCCGTGCCCTTTCCCTGTTCTTCAATCTTTCAGTCACTCCCACTCTGTTTCCCCGCTGGCTCCTTGCCCTAACCCCACCCCTGTGTCACCTCCATGTCCCCTGATAATTAGTCTCTGATACTTCTTCCCCCACTCCAAAATCCCCATATACTTAAACCCCAGACCCTCAGACCAGCCTTTGCCTTTGCCCTTGAACCCCGGGACTGTGCTCGTGCGTGACTGAAATAAACATCTCTATGAAACCCTTGCAAAGACCCTTCCTGCTTCTTTACCTGCACCATCGCAACAGCTACCCCAACAACACCACCTAGGGGTTAAAATCCCCCTGGTTTTGGGAACAGGTCTGGTTAAGACAGGGTTTTCTCTCACAGCTTGAAGTGCCGGAGGTGTGCTGTGGTGGGCAACGGCCACCGGCTCCGCAACAGCTCCATGGGGGACACCATCAACACCTACGATGTCGTGATCAGGTACAGCCCTGGGCCCGCCCACCGCTCCCTCCCCGGTGCCACCCGCAGCTGGGGCTGACACCTGTGATGTCCCCAAGGCTGAACAACGCCCCAGTCCATGGTTATGAGCAGGACGTGGGCTCCAAGACCACCATGCGCCTCTTCTACCCGGAGTCAGCTCACTTCGACCCCCGGGCCGAGAACAACCCTGACACGCTGCTGGTGCTCGTGCCCTTCAAGCCCTCGGACTTCCAGTGGATGGAGGCCATCCTTAATGACAAGAAGAGGGTGAGTGTGGTGGGGAACCAGGTCTAACCCCTCCCTGGCTGCTCCAGATTCCAATTGTCACGCCACCCCACTCTTGGGGACATCTGGCCTCTTGCAGGTTCGGAAAGGGTTTTGGAAACAGCCCCCGTTGATCTGGGACGCCAACCCGGAGCAGGTGCGTGTCCTCAATCCCTACTACATGGAAGTCACTGCTGCTAAACTGCTCAACCTCCCCATGAAGCAACCACGGAAAGTCAAACAGGTAAGGGGTGAGGATGGCCAGCACACCCGGAGGGGGGACAGCCTGTCCCCGTGCAGCTCCCTGAAGGCTGTGGCTCTCTGTCCCCTAGAAGCCCACCACGGGGCTGCTGGCCATCACCTTGGCACTGCACTTCTGTGACCTGGTGCACATCGCGGGCTTTGGCTACCCTGACACGGCCAACAAGAAGCAAACCATCCACTACTACGAACAGATCACGCTCAAGTCCATGGCTGTAAGTGTTTGCCCCACAGATTTGTCTCTGTTCCTCCCATTTTTCCCCCAGAATGGGGGATGGCAGCCAAGGAGAGCAGTGCCAGGATGCTGAAGTGGGAATGGGAGGCTTTTCCCTCTCCCTCCCCTCCCATGATGAAGGTTGAAGTCAATCTTTGATGATCATCATCCAACTTCTCTTGGTATCCGAATTTCTTTGGAGGCATGGAGAGTTAGATCCATCCCCAGTTTATGTGTGAGGAGAAGAGCTCGTGGACAGGGGGATTGGGTGGGGAGGGTTCTGTCTCTGCTTTTGGGGGGGGCTGAAGTCCCCGCTGGTGGGGTGGGAAGGTGGGAGGGGTGGAAGGAAGCCCCTCCTCACCAGACTCTGGTGTCACCCCCTGCTCCCCATCCCGCAGGCGTCGGAGCACAACGTGTCACACGAGGCCGTGGCCATCAAGCGGATGCTGGAGCTGGGACTCGTCAAGAACCTCACCTACTTCTGAGGATGGCACAGGGACACCGTCCCCCTCAGTGAGGGGACACCGTCCCGTGCTGTGAGGGGACACTGCGCTGGCATGGCCAGAGTGACCGAGGGCACAGCATCCTTGTCACCGCTGCCACCACGCCCTGGGACTCTTGGAGCGGGGCTGGGGCTGGGGGCCGCGCTGGACCGTGGGTGCCCAGGGTGGGGCAGCTCTTTGGGGGTGCAGGGAGCCCGGCAGGGCCGTGGCCCGGCCCCTTTTCTACTGACACACTGAAGCTACCGAGGACTCGGAGGGGGATTTTGGGGTAGGGGGGTCCTCCCTCCCAGCGGGCCTGAGGGGGTGAGTCAGGGCAGGAGCCTTGCCCTGGACATTCTCTTTCCCTTAATTCCCTCATACACTGACGAAGGCCCTGCTGAGGGGCTGATTTTCGGGGTCCTGGCCACTCTCTCCCTCAGGGAATGGGAGCCTTTGGAGGCTAATGTTGCCTCCTCCCTGCCCTGGACCTCCTCACAAATATTTAATCCCCCCCTTTTTTTTAATTTCCTTTTTTACTTGGCGGCCCTGTCCTGTGCCTTAGTGCTGGTAGGGACTCGTCCCCACAGCCCCCCTGGGTGGGGGCACCCTGGGGTGCTTGGCTTCGGGGTCTGCCAGGGCCCTTTGGTGGTGCAGATTAATTTAATTAATTTAAATGCTTATTTATGGTGGAGCCTTCACCCAGGGCCCGCATGCCACTGGTGTCAGTGACAAGGGGCCTTGGGTGGGCTGGTGTGCGCTTGGCTCCAGGGGTGGGCATTTGGGATGTCCCCCCACCATGGAGGGGTTGACTGGTGCTTTCTCCCTGCTGGTGTAGAATCCCCTCTGCCCCTGTGGGGCTGCAGGTGTCGGGGGAACCCATGGATGGGGGTTTGGGGCTCATGATGGCACCCAATAAAGTCCTGGTGAGGCTGGGATAGACTGGGCGCTCCTGGAATGTGATGGGGGGGGGGTAAGGGAGTTTTGGGGCTGTGAGATGCAGGGAGGGTGGCCTGTCCCCATCATCATCATCGTGTCCCTGCATCCCCTTACCTGTTGTGACGCCCCATCTCCTGGCTCCCACGCTGGGGTTGTGGGGTCCCAGCTGCCCCGTGCCTCAGTTTCCCTCCACCACGGGCCATTCCTGCCCCAGGAAGCCATGGCACAGCCAGGCTCCAGGCTGGGCAGAGTGCCAGGGAAGCCGATGTCCCCGCGGGGTGGCCATCAGCCCAGGCGTGCCACGAGAAACACCTCTTGTATTGACGGCGGTGCCGCGATACAGCGTGGAGAGGCCCTTCCCGGGGGTCCCAGCGCTGTCCCCCCGCTCCTGTCCCACAGGGAGGGACCCCCCCGACCCCCCGACACGGACTCTATACGTATGGACACCGAACAGCACGAGGGAAGGAGAGGAGCCGGGTGGGAGAGGGCAGCGGGAAGCGGAGGCGAGCGGCTGGGGGGGCTCGGGGACGGCTCCCCGGGGCTCAGCGCGTCCTCGGCGGGGTTGTGCTTAGCATGTACCAGGGACGGGGAGGATGCTCGGCCGGTCCCCTGCCCCGCAGCCCCGCTCTGGAGGGGCTGGACCCGGCCTCTTCCCACCGCCGCTGCCGGCGGGCGCGACTGTCCGAGCGCGGAGCCCCGGCGCCCACGCGGAGGGTCCCGAGCATCCCCGGAGGGGCTCAAACGTGCGTCTGCATCCGCCTCTGCAGGGGCCGGCTGGGGTCTGAGTTTTGGGAAGACGACTGGGAATGGTGGGAGGAGGATGCGGAGGCCTTGCTGGCCTTGTCGAACTGCACGTAGCCGTCCTGCTTGCCGCTGCTGCTGATGCTGCTGTCGCACTGGGTGTCGAGGAAAGAGCTGCTGTCGCTCATGGAGCCGCGCTGGAACTCGCGCTCGCACAGCTCGATGGAGCTGCTGCCCATGCCCAGCACGAAGCGCTGGCTGTAGTCGTAGAGGCGGCTCTGCCCGCTCAGGGTGCTGTAGATGTTGGTGAAGGACATGCCCGTGGGCACACGCTGCTTGCCAGCCGGGCGCAGGTCAGCCGGGCAGCCCGACAGAGAGATGGTGGGGGTGGAGTGGTGCTCCTTGAAGGTGTTCACGCTGTAGTAGCCATTGGTGGGGTCCTGGGGCATGGGAGAAGAGGGGCAGGTTGGTGGTGGCCTCCCTTGGGACCGTGGCATTTGAGGTGCCCATCCACATGCAAGACTTATCAGAATCATCGAATACCCTGGGCTGGAAGGGACCCACAAGGATCATCCAGTCCAGCTCTGCGCAGACACCCCAACAATCCCACCCTGTGCATCCCTGGCAGCGCTGTCCAAACGCTCCTGGAGCTCTGGCAGCCTCGGGGCCGTGCCCATTCCCTGGGGAACCTGGGCAGTGCCCAGTACCCTGTGGAGAAAGAACCTTTCCCTGTTCTCCATCCTGAGCCTGCTCTGGTACAGCTCCAGCCGTTCTCCCAGGTCCATTGCTGGTCACAGAGAGCAGAGATCAGAGCTGTCGCTAAGGAAGAAGCTGCAGACCCTGATGAGTCTCCCCTTGGTCTCCTCCAGGATGAACAAGCCAAGTCACCTCAGCTGCTCATCGTAGGAACCCTCTAGACCCTTCCCCATTTTCACAGCCCCCCTTTGGAGGACACTTCAACCACCAAACCACCCAGCAATGTCCTCTTGTGCCACCAGTGGATTCCAATCTGTCCAGCCCTTCCAGGCCGGGACACAAGTGCCCTTTGCATTCCACTGTCCTGGCACCACACCTTCATGTAAGCCCTAAAAGCTTCTGGGACAATGCCAGCATGGCAGAGCGTCTCTCCCTGCACAGGGACAGTCCTCTGGGACAGGCCACCACTGGGGACATGGTCCAAGGACAGCCTGGCAGCAGCAGTGCTGTTTGGGGCATGAGCTGGTTCTGCCTGCTGATGGGCACGGGGAGGGATTCCCAGCACCCCGGGGTGCCAGGAGGGACCGGGGGGATCCGACCCCACTGGGGACAGAGGCAGGATCCAACTCACCTTCAGATTTTGAAACTCCTTCTCCTCCTCCTTGAGCACCTCGAGCTGCTTCAGCACCGAATCCTGCTGGAACTCCCCCCGGTCCATCTAGGAAAGGATGCGGGCAGGGGTCAGCATCCCTGGCCCCGGGGTCCCCATCACCCCAGGATACATTGGGCGAGCCCCACACCCACCATCAGCCCCGGGGCACTGGCAAGTTGCCACCAGCCGGATTCAAGGACTTGCCCAGGGGTGTCCGAGGGCCGTGCAGTCGGGCTGATGGCCAAAAAATCACACAATTCCCTGGGTTACAGATTGTTTTTCCCTGTTTAGGACAGAAAAATCCGGACTGATGCAGAAAACGAATTATTTATCGTGGTGAGGGTTGGGGCTGCACCCGCCTGCCCAAAGCAACACCCCTAAAATCGTCTTTTTTTTTTTTTTTTTTTTTTTTTTTTTTTTTTTTTTTTTTTTTTTTTTTTTTTTTTTTTTTTTTTTTTTTTTTTTTTCAAATTTTTTTCTTTTTTTTTTTTCTTTTTTCCCTTCTTTTCATCCTTTCCTCCTCAGATGAACTTGGCCGCCTCATTAGTTTTCCTTTGAAGGCTGGCTGTGATTGGGGGGAGGCGGAGAGGAGGGGCAAGGTGCACATTAATTACACAACGGCTTTAATTACCCTTCCTTCAGCACGCGGGTCTGTGCAGGAAGCAGGATAATTACCAACCAATTTCTCAGTTGCCTTTTTTTAGCTTCTCCCGTATTCACCCGACGCCTCCAGCCCGGCTTCTCTGGGATCACAGCCCCTCATCAGCCCCAAAATCTCCTTTTATTGCCCAAATTCTCTCCTCTTTAAGATGGTAAGTGGCTGTGGAAATTCACCCCGCGGCACTTGCTGTTCATCTCCCGAAAGCCTTTGATGTGGCTGTTAAAGGCAATAAATTAAAGTACCTGAGTTTTCCTAGGGAAAAGAAAGCCTGTATCAGCCATTGATTTGCCGGGATAAATACAAGTGTCGCCGAGGATTAAACGAGTGCAGCTAAAATGGGATGTGGAGGGTTTTTTTTGCTCTGCCAGCCCCGACGATCCTTTAAATCCTCTCTGCCAAGGCCGACTGGGGGTGTTAACCCTATCGAAAGGGTTTAACAGGTCCCAAAAACCACTTCTCCTCCTTGGATTTGGCTTTTTTTTGGCGTGTGTGTTGGCGTGGATGACCCAGCGGGCAGGGCCAGAGATGGAGAGGGGAGAAGGGAGGTGGGAACCAAGGGGAGAGTGACCAAACCTCCCTGGAATTAATGTCGGGTTTGATGTTTGGTGTTTTAAGCCATTCTATGTTGCCTCTTGAAGTCATGGTGGGAATGATCCAGGCACTGGGATGCCCGTGGGGACCCTGCCTGTCCCCGGGGCTGGCACGACGCTCTGAATTCGGCTGCACCCCGTGAATTTGGGGACTGCAGGGAGTCCCCACATGAGGTCCACAAAGCGCCATCACATCACTGAACCTCCAATTCCCCCCATTACAGCCGGTCATTAACATCAACTTTATTAAAGTTTTACACCATTAATTAGCGGGTGGTGGGATTCTCATTAGTGTGATTTCTGCTTTGTTGTCACTGAGTAAACACTGAAGGGATGGAAGTTAACTCAAATTCACTCCGTCACTATGAAGGGGCAGAGGGAAATACATGGAAAAAGGGACCGGAGATGTCTGAGTGCCCTGGCATGGGATTCCCCAGTGTCATTCCTTTTTTCCAGAGCCGTGGCTTTCTCCAGCCAGGTGACAGCACCAATATGCTCCGGTTCTGGGTCACAGCGCTGCCGTGCGTGTCTGGGGATACACCCGTCTGTTAGAGCCACGTGTCCCCCATTCCCTTCTGCCAGGACTCCATCCTGCTTGGCACTGCCAGGCGCCAGCAGCCGTGCCCATCCCCAGAACAATGGGGCATCGCAGATAAGGTACAAAGTCCTGCCCGTCCCCAAACCCCGCCGGTGCCGCCTGGATCAGCGTGGCTGAGGGATGTGACAAACATCCCTGCATCCCTGACCGCCACTGCCTCGGTTTCCCGCACTGCAAAAGGCAGGGACCCCCTCGGGATGCTGAAGCATCTCCTCAGCCTGGCTGTGCTGGCTCGCACCGCCCAGGAGCGCATCCCCGGGGAGCAAAGAGCCTGCCCAGGGTCCCTCAGAGCAGGGAAACACCGCATGGAAGCAGCGGGCAGTGCCGTGCCCCCCGCTCCGCTCTGGAAACGCGGAGCTCTCCCGCGTTCCACGCCACCCAACGAAGCCTCTGAGATGGAGAATCCGACAGGATATTAAATTCTTGGCTTTCATTTAGTGGCCACAATGTGTTTTTTAAGATGCTGCTTCAGGTCCCCGAGTATCCCCCGGACCTGGCGGGCTCGCAGTGCCTCCCCCGCCTCGCTGCAGGTTTAATTACAATATTTCCGGCTGGTTGGGTAATTGGATGCCACCCGGCAGCAATTGTGCGGGCCAGACGTTACCAGGGTGAGGGATGATTCTGGAACAGTGCCTTCCTCTGC